CACATCACTTTACTGCACCATATCCACATCCACATATGTAGGTAAGATTGGCATAAATACTCAACTTTGTATAGTTGCCAACTTTATATTTATAATGGCGATAATTATAAATCTAAATAACTAGGATAAATGCATGCATATGTCCAAAAAATATCGTCCTAAAATGCATTAGTTACGTAGCGTAGCCTTCTAGTATGTATTCCATTCATACTCAGTTTTACTAGATCAATTCGTGTTCTCGAGAAAAAAATTTGCTTCATCGAAAAATCTGAGTATAGCGACCAAAATAGTTTTCGCCCAAATTTTTGAAATTCAAGTTCCCCCCCCCCCCCCCCCCCCNTTTGTATGCTATTTTTAACAAATATAGGCCAAAAAACACAAAAATAATTTTTAAAAAATTGGGGAGAAAAAATGTGTGGCGGCTATCCTCAGATTTTTGGATCATTTCTTTTCTCGATAACAAGAATTGATCTAGTAAGTCAGAGTATGAGGCATTGTACGTATGGCTATTAAAGCTGATATATGCGGACTCTAGGTTTTGAAGCCAAGTCATTCACCGCTTGGCCTTTCCATCGCAGTGGAGGCCTCTCTCTTCTTCCGCAACCACCAGCGAGTTTCGGGTTGAATACCTAGCCCAACTTAACCATTTTTCCAATGTCGTTTGTGGAGAGATCACTACTTCAAGTTTGCAATTCGAACCCGGTTAAGCCTTTTGAAATGACCATACCACGCGGAACCGCCTCTAGTTATTTCTACACAAGATATTCCCCTTCTTTTTTGGTTTGCCTACATCCGCCCTTAAACCGTCCATTGAATTGCTTTCTGCCAAAGTCTGTTGGCTCATCGTAAAAACTTCTTCTTCGTTTCCTTTAATACCAAGCACGATATAGGGCATCTACTGAGTCCACGTGCCATCCGGTTCTATTTCTGGTAATAGCTTTGAGTTCCTTCCAACTTAACCCAAGTTGCCTCGCCATTCGGTCGACTACTATTCTCCATGTCCATGCCGATTAGGTGATTCCATTCCAAGGCCTTTTTGCAATACTTCCGTCTCCTTTGTGTGCAGTGTGGCATATACACTTCCTTTTGTGTATTCAAATCTAGGTGTCAAGGTGTTCCATGTTAGCCTCTCTGAGAATTTCCTCATTTGAGATGGTCTTAGGCCAAAAAATTAGTATAGTTCTGAGGCATCTCTTTAAGGAAACTCGCAAGCGCCTGGTGGCTTTTCAATAGGGAATACCACACAGAAACAAGGAAAGAACATTGTATATGAAAATTCGAATTTAAGCCGGAACTTAGATTGTAGTTTCGCCATAACTTGGTCAGAGATTAGATTATATCAAAATCAAAAATATCAAAAAATCCATTAATAACCTTGGAGTTAATACGCATCATCGTGCGACATACTGCAACGTTTAAAAGGTGAGTCGGTTACTTTGAAGCTACACGAATGTATACTTAAAATTATATAAATACTAGGCGAACTTCGTCCGGCCCAAAATTAATTTTTTTATTATTTTATTTTTATGGTTTTGTGGTCGTCAGAAGGCACATTTTTCATTGTCATCTTAAATGAACTAGCGAAAGTTCTTTCAATTCTCCAATTATCTGGTGTTTCATAGAACGGTTAATACCACAACGTTGATCAATTTGGATATCAGTGTTGCACGCGAAATAAATGCGAACAACTTTTTCCTCTTCACTCCCTAGCGGCAACAATGACGCAATTCAATGATGAATCTGTTCTTGAATCTGTAGTGTATATATAGTTGGTGGCAATGTCAAAATGAGTGAGTATCGTTGTCCACAAAAATCCAATATATATGTATACACACATACATATGCAGTATGAAAAACACCCCTTGATATATCGCAACAATTTTTAGCTTGTAACCATCCCTGGAAAGTCTGGTTCCCAAAATTAAAAAAAAAAAATAAATTAAAAATCGGTGGAAAACTTTGCAAATTTTTGTCCGCCGAACAAACGAACTTGCTATTAGATTACATTTGATAGTAACTCCTCTCCGGCCCTTGGTTGCCGCCTATATTCGGCATAGTAATCTCTTACCTCTCTTTGGTACTCTTTTAAAGATATATTAGAGTAAAAGAGGCTTTCTAAGTTCCTAGTATGCATACGGTTATGAAATTATACTCGTACTACAGTTTTACGGTCTCACTACAGCCCCTTAACAAATTGATTATTTATCAAAAATTTGCGCCTAAAACTATGCCGCTAAGATTTGTCTGTATTTGGCTAAATTTGTTAAGCTTTTTTAAAGCGCCTAAAATTAATTTTTTGCAAAATAGCTTTAGTCGTTTTTTTTTCTTTTGTTGATAAATAGTCAAGCTTGACAATTTGTCAAGTGCACAGAATTTGAGTGTTAATGTGAATACTTAATAGAATTAAAATCTAGAGTACGGCAACTATGATCGTGTACGTTTTTATTCCTTCATCCGCGTAATAAGTTAGTATTTTATCTTTACCTTTATTTACTTTGATGCGATTGAGCAAAAAGAGAGTATAAAACCCTTGTAGTACGGTTTTACCATGTGGTAACTTTGTTTGTTGTTGGTTCCCATACTAATTAGAGATAACACTTTTGGGCAAAATAACTCGACTTTGTCTCATGTTTTTGTTTTGTGTTAAACTGGCAACTCTGATCAGCTGTGTATGCGCGCTAAGAGAAAGTGGAAAGTGAAGCAGAAAAACATAAGGTGGGCGCAATTTGAAATAGTTTTAGGTTTTTATCTGTTTTATTGACAATTTGAAACACATGTGTGAAGGGTTGCTCACAGTTCGGGGGTGTGTTATCTTGTAAAAGTTACCACCTTTTAACTTTAACAGTAAACTGTGAGTACCCTAACTGTTTGTAACCGTAGGAAATTCCGTGATACTTACGCGGTACACCTTAGTCAAAACGGCAGTATTTGAGGCGTTTATTTGGGTCTTCCAAAATGAACCATGTCAACCCTGACATAGTCGCATGTACATACATATGTTTATTTAAAACACACAAATGCGGGTATGAAAATACATATGTTAATGCGCACGTGTATCCGCTATCCAGCAAATGACATGTGCCACACAATAAAGCAATTAACATAAACACGCAAGTCTCTCGTAACCTTTTGTCTCTCTCAAGTTTGTTCATGTTGCCAACACCGCCCTCTCCCCCGCTAATAACGGTATTGTTGGCACAATTGTAATTTAATATTTTAATTACATAATATGTAAACCTGTGCCAATACACACACGCGTACACACACAAACATACACACATACGTTTATATAACTAGACAAACATTGAATCGGTATGCGCGTGATAACAGAAACTTTTGTTTGCTGAATTTAATATTTGACAAATGATAACGCGAAGATAGGTAATATTAAGTTTACTCACAATAATACGAATAGCCATTTCCGGCTGGTTAAGAAGCTTAGGTAGAAACTTTGAGCAACATTGTTACACTGCAATTCCATATTCCGCCCAGCCATTTTTAGGTTTTGAAACAGGAAATAGTCGCTTGGGGCTAAATCTGGTGAATATGGTGCATGGGGTCTTGAGTTGGCAGCACTTTTTTCTTGGCTAAATATTGTTTATTTTTGCTTCAAATCAATATCGAGTCTGTCCAAGATCTCTGAATAATATTCGCCATAATCGTTTTAAGGTAATCGATGGGAATAGCACAACGCCTGCATCCCAAAACGCTGTTGCCATGACCTTATTGGCCGAAAGATCCACTTTAGCCTTCTTTGGTGTACGTTCACCCGGAGAAACCCACTGTCTTGTTTATTCCTTAGTCTCTGGTGCGTTGTGGTGCATCCATGTTTCGTCCAGTGTTACGAAACGGCGGAACTTTGAAGTTGTCACTCGGCTGGCTATATGTAACTATTACCTCCTCGACTTATTCTAAAATTAAGGAACGATGACTGAACGGATTTTTGTTGTAGCAGAAAAGTATAATAAAGTTGTATGGTGAATAACCTAGCCCAAAAATTATGACATCTAGTATATTTTTGTTGGATCTGTCTGCACAGATTGGTGAAGTTTTCAAGCGTCACATAAAAGTAGCAGTTCTAAGAGGTTCAGACCATATAAAGAGTAGTGTTTGGTGCCGAGGGCTGGGTAGGAATATGAAGGGTTTGTTTGTATTGTGGGGTTGCTCATCAAATTCGAAAGACACGTTCGAAATATCAAGATCGCTTTTCAGATTGACAGACCTCAGTCTATTACGATGTCAAGAATGAGACAATTTTACTCAAGGTTCTGTTATATTATGAAATCAAATTATCGTTGATCCTTGAGTGCATTGAGATGCTCAACTCCGGGTACCTGACCGCATGGGCATATAGGGTAACTAAACGGAGGACAGTCTCGCAAGAGAGGTGGCAGCCATCATAACAGTTGGACCCGTTGGGTTCTATTTACGTCCGTTAAATTTTAAGCGTTTTTTAGCTCAGCCAATGACATCCTAACTATGAGGTAGAGTACAAACTTAGAGCAAGTAGATTTTATTTGAGATAGGATATACATACATTCATTAATGCGCGATTTATCTCATCGTTTTGTGGCAGGAATACAAATAAGTATTTAGAGAAGCAGCGCTTATCTTTCACATATCCCACCTATGCACACATTCGTCCTCCACCCTCTTAGCGGCGATAACGTACATAGTTTCCCTTAAAATCTTAAAATTAGTTATGCGGTAATGTCATGCCCATTTACAAAAAAAAGCATTATCTTGCGAATCATCTACTATGCTTTTCCCAAGTGAATGCAAATCAAACATAGCCTCATTTTTGGCATTCATGAATTTCTTACTTAGTGGCTTTGTCGCTTTACATTCCTTCATTTAGTTGTTGCCTGCTCTAACAAGCAGTCACTCTTTGCTTGCTAAGCTCTCAAATCAAAGCAATGTTATTTCAAAGAAGTTTTTTGTTTCTGCTCCAGTTGGCCGCCTACGTTCCACAGTTCGTCTACAGTTTTGGCAGGCATTTCATGGAAGTGTCCGAGACGGATCGCGCTGAAATCATTTGCACCATGGCGCTGCTGCATAAATATTTCGAATATGGTGAACCGCTTTCCGGTTCGCTGATATCCATGAGCTTAACGACAGCACCGTTTAATATACAACAGGACCTCTTGAATGCCCTACATGAACAGCTCGATGTGCCGTGGACTGTTGTGGTGAGAAATATCCATCAGCCTTCTACCAGTAGTGGAGCATCTGCTACGATTTTGCACGAGAAACCACAATGCTATTTTGTAATTATTGAAAATTTGCAAGACGGTGACTTGGAAGATGTATTGGAAGATTGGAAAACTGATATCAATTGGAATCCTCTCGCACAATTCGTGGTCTATATGGCTTCGCTTGAGGAAACTGACGAAGAGATGACCGAGTTGATGACCGAAATATTGCTGAGCTTCATGAATAAGAATATTTACAATGTGAATGTTATTGGACGTAATGAAGAGAATGCGTTTTTCTACGGTAAAACTGTTTTCCCTTATCATCCGGATAATAATTGTGGCAATCGGGTGACAGCTATTGAGACATTGGATATCTGTGATTTTCAGGATGATAGTAAATATATGGATGATGATAATGAGGAAGAAGATGGAGTTTTGGATGACTATGATGATGATGATTATGAAGAAGGCGGCGGTGATGAGTATGAACAGGATGGTAACGGAAATGTAGGTAGAAGTGGTAGTGAACAAATTTACGAAAATGGAGGGAGGGATGAGGTTGGAAATGTGGAGGGAGATGGAGATAGGGACGGTGATCGACGTCGGGATCAATCGGCTCGAGGAAGCGAAGGCAGAAGGGGAGGAAAAGAAGCAGAAGAGATTGAAAATAAAAGGGAAGTAGAAGATAGTGGAGTTGAAGTAGGAAAGGAAGGAGAAGAGAAAGGAATTGAAGGTGAAGACGGAGCTGGAAATGAAAGCAAAGGTGAAGTTGACGGTGAAGACGAAGGCCAAGCAGGAAAAGAAACTGAAGAAGAAGAGAAAGAGGAAGAGGAAGACGATATCGAAGATGAAGCAGAATCAGAGGAAACAAAAGAAGAAGGCGTGGAAAAAAGAGAAGACCCCGTAAAGGAAAAAGAGGAGGTAGAAAATTTAGGGCAAATGAGCGTAAAACGAGTAAATGGGGAAACACTGGATGAAGATGAAAGTGAAAAGGAGTTTGAAAGTGAAGGGGAAGGTGAAGATGAGAATGATGATGATGATGATGATGATGAAGGGGAATGCGAAGAAGAAGTTGAAGCTGATGCTAAAAATGAAAGTGAATTCGAAATAGAAGTTGTTCATGAGAGTGGCGGAGAAAGAGAAGAGAAAAGAAAGGAGGAGATAAATCATGAAAGAAAAGAGACTAATAAAAAGAAAGAAGCAATAAAAGGCAAAGACTTAGATGAAAATAGCGAAGGCTTTAATGACGAAAGTGACGCAATGAAATATGTGGCTCTAAGGGATAAAAAAGTAAAGAATAAAAATTTTAGATGTAGCGGAAACAAGAAAGAGTTGAAAGATATAAAAATATTGCAATCACTTAGCGTGAAAGGTTATGAAATTGAAGACAAGAATAGCGGCGAAAAAGCTGACTTTAAATTAGCTATAGTAGAAAATTGCAGTGATGGTTGCGACCATAGTGTTTCTCAGAAAAAGATAAATCGTATTGAAATTGTCAAACGATTTGGAGTTGAAACAAATCCAAATAAAATTCCTGAAAATTCAATTAACGAAAAAAGGCGAGGCACTGATGCCAGTTTGAATACTAAGAAAATTATAAATAAATCCGGAAAAGCCAAAGTCTTAATAGAGGCCCCAGATTCCGTTGTAACTCGCTTTCATAGCAGTAAAATTTACGCGCCGTTCGACGTCCTCTCACCGCTGAAAAATGGCAGAGCGCGCCAAAAGCGATCCGAACAAAACAATCAGGATACCACAAAAGATTCCACTACCCAAGAAATTTACCTGCAGGAACTCTATCGTGGTCTATTTCTGGATAAGTTTCCCAAAGATCTCAGTGGCTGTCCTATCGTAGCAGCTTATCGGCCGTGGGAACCCTACATATTTAATGAAGGCAAAGAGAAAGGCAGCAGCGTAGAAGACTATCATATAGCTTACGAGAGCAACGAGGAATCAGCAGCCGATGTGGCTGTGTATGAGGCTAAGGATAGTGAGGAAAATGTACAAAATGAAAGCGATAGCATGGACTATGATTATGCGACAGCAAATGACGACAGCTATACGGGCATGGCAACAGATGCCGGCACAGACACAGATACAGATGCGACGGCATACAATGATGTAGACGACGTAGGTGCCGGCGATGCACCGCCGCCAAAGTTTAATGGCATCGAATATCAATTGGTTCAAACTATTGGCAAGCTACTGAACATAACAATCGAGCTGCAGGTGGAGAATAGCAATCTATATCATCTCTTTCAACAACTCATCGATGGGTGAGTAAATCTTGCGTGTGATTAAATAGCGAAATATTTGAATTGTGTTTATTACAGCGACGTTGAAATGATTTTGGGTGGCATTGACGAAGATCCCAGCCTGAGTCAATATGTCTCGAGTTCGATAGCCTATCATCAGGATGATCTCACTTGGTGTGTTGCCAAAGCTAAACGCAATTATAGTCTCTTCAACTTTTTGCAAAGTTTTCACATTAGCACTTGGATCTTTACGCTGGCTTTTATTTTGTTATCTTCTTTGAATATTTTCGTGGCTCAAAATGTGCTAAACATTCGAATCACACATTTTGTTGGTTTCTTTGCGACTACCATGCGTGTTTTTGGCATTGTACTCAGCCAATCGACGAGTCTTTCACGTCTACCATATTCGCTGTGCATCACCTTTGGCAGCACCTTCGTATTGGCGCTGATTTTCGTAAATAGTTATCAGAGTTTTCTCGTCAGCACATTGACTACACCACAGTCGTCCTATCAGATCAGTCATTTAGATGAAATCTATCGCAATCGCATGGCAGTAACAGGCAGCGTGGAGAATGTGCGGCATCTCAACAAGGATGGGGAGGTTAGTGGAGTAGATTTTTAGCAAAATATTTTATTTTTCTTAAAATATTTCTATCGCTCTTTCACCTTCTCACTGTACATATCTACCTCTGCCTTTCTCACGCTTTTTTCTCTCTCTTTCTCTTTTACTATCTCTCTCCTTCTCCCTTTCTCTCTCAGACCTTCAAATATATACGTGAAAACTTTCAAATGTGCTACAGTATCGAGGAGTGCCTCAATCGCGCTGCCGCCGATGAGCACGTCGCCGTTGCTGTTTCACGCCAGCACTCCTTCTACAATCCGCGCATACTACGCGATCAACTTTACTGCTTCGATCGTAATGAGAATCTTTACGTCTATCTTGTTACATTGTTATTGCCCAAAAAATATCATCTGCTACATAAAATCAATCCGATTATACAGCACGTCATTGAGTCGGGCCACATGCAGAAATGGGCTCGTGAGCTAGATCTGAAGCGTAAAATTCGTGAGGAGATCGAGCGCGCACAAAAGGAGTTAGTCAAGAGTTTAAAGCTCAATCAAGTTGCGGGTAGTTTTGCTTTACATGGCATGCTGGCAGTACTGGCTTTTTTTATATTTCTACTCGAACGATGGACCAATTGGATGGTGGTGAAGCGTCGCACGCGCTTACGATTGGTTAAGATGTTGCATCGACAATTTAGTTAAAAAAGTTTAATATAACTAGAAGAAATGGTTTGTTTGTAGCCGTCACCACGAAAATCTATCACGAAGGGAAGAGTTTTAAAACTTGCTGTATATTTTTTAGATGCACACAGAATAAAAGCGACGAATGTGGAATCTATTAAGTTTCTGCGGATACAGGCAAATAGTTATATGTATGCATGGGCATTCTCCAGAAGATCAGTAAGATTTATAGTCAAGAGGATTGAGTACGCCATAATAGCGCTTTGTGTACCTCAAATGAGTTAAAAATACTTAAAAGTTTTACTTATAAGCTCTCTGGTCTGGTCTCCGGTTCTACTGAGTATTTACTGCGGTGGTGGGCATCAGCTTGCCTCTTTCAAGCTTTCTATACTAAATATATACATACATACAACGTGTGAAAGCGATTAGACCGCGGGTAAGCCGGTGCCCACTATCGTTCTACTGGCACTCGTTCGTAAGAATCACTCTTCACTTGATCACCAGTAGGCACAGACTGAAATGGCCCAAATTCATTAGATAAAATTGAGCTTAAGAGCTTTTGCAGGCCTCAGAAACTTTTTACCTTTTATTATGCCGCATTATTGCTTTTCGTGTTCCCATTTAAAATAATTGAAAAGTGTTTCCTCCTTAGCTTAAGGTCACTCTGGGCGTCTGGTTCTTGCCGGAACCTGCCATTATCTTGAAGTATCTTTTAATTACGCTGCATGCATCTCAATAATCTCAAATTCTTGCGTTTCTATTTTCCACCTTTATTCGGCAAAGTAGTGGTACGAGTCGATGTCGAGTGCATTTCCGCTGTCTATCGCAAGTAATCGCTTTTATCATAGGACATTTACAGATATATATTTTATACTTCAAGCAACAAAGGAGCATATTTACATAGCTGAGGAGCGCACCTTGTTTACTTATTTAGCGCCAGCTGACTCCCTTAAAGTATACTCAGCTTGACGGTGGTAGACCGCGGTTCCAGTTCTGTACATTTTTACCACTTTTCTCAGGATTTCGAACGTAGCGCCCCCTTCAAGTGAAGCTATTAGAATGGTAACCAGAACTTTCAATTCACCGAATCTGAGGTCTGTCTCACCAGTAGCTCGTTTCTGTAACAATTCTCTACCAAGGCGAATTGAGATATGAATTCGCCGCCCTGTTCTCTACTGCCAATTAGTAGGTAAGAGTGACGTATTTTCTCTACCAGTAGAGAAATAATCGGTAGAGAAAAGTTACAGAAACGGGCTACAGGTGTGTACTGCGTTCAATCGGATAAAAATACAGTAGAATTTTTAGAGTCTTTCTGGTGATGAAGCGTAAATCTCCCCGCGGTAAGTGGAATAAGGCGTGCCAGCCGATCGTCATCTCGTAGAAAAGGATATGTAGGTCGGACGATCCTGTGTGCACCTAGGATTTCACCATATCTACCCTGCAGACGAAGATCGCTATAGGTTTACTGTAACGAGCCACAGGGTTGCAATTTCAATTCAAATTTCTGTCAAGAATTACGACGAGGTAATTTTAAGTCACTATCCTTAGCAGTGGGACAGAGGGCATCCTATAGTTTTTCACCTAATACCTCAAACTTAGAGATACTTACCCGATGGCCTAAAGACGATGCATTCAACATAAACTAAAGAAAAGATAAGAAAATAGGTCTACATATATACTTAATGATGCTTCTTTATCAAGAAAAATTGCTAATGTAAATGCATTAAAGTTATGCCATCTTTTGAGTCGGGTTGGCCCAAAGGATATCAACGATCTTTGCGAATTTCAGTAGTAATTTAAGCTCTGCTCTTGAAATATGTCCTAACTGCTGATATCCTCATAGTGAAAACGACGTCTACTTCAAATATGCTGCACTGGTCAGTTAACCTTACTGCCCGCCTAACGTACAGCAGTTCCCGGCGGCATATTCCGGCACTCACTGTCGTAACAATTTCAGAGCCCTCTTTGAAAATGTTGAGGTATGTATGCCTAGGTTTCATTCCCTTGCGCCTTATCTGCTCTTCAATCGTTAGGCGAAAATTTCGTTCCCAATTAAAACAAGATGCCATATAATCTGTGCTGGCTGTGCACCTAGCCCTAATTGAGCTGTCCTGTAGTTAAATGACCATCGTTGTACCTGCTGTTTTAGCAGCGCGGTTTTCCGCGATTAGATCAATGGGCGGTAAACTGAAGAATTTTTTCTAGAGCAGCCATTGGATTAGACATCAGTGCTCCAGTGATGCCCAGTGCCGCGAGGCGTTCAACCTTCTCCATTGGCCCGAGGAATGAAGAGTTTTTTGCAGCATTCCACCATATCAGAGCGCAATTGGGTAGAGTTGGTCTGACTATTGCTTTCCTTTACATGCATATCTGTAGGGCGTTGCTAACGTTGCACAGCAGTTTACTATCCTAGACAACTTACTTCACCACTACTACGGCTATGTCGTCCGTATACGCAACTAGTTTGAGTGCTTTCTCCTCGAAATCCCTAAGTAATTTATTGACCGTTAGTAGCCATAATAGTGCTTGGTTACCTTTGCATCTTCTCACACCGGCCTTATTTTTCTGTTGCCTAGAAAATTTTTATTCGACAATGAAATAGCGGTTTCTACAACTATTGATTCAGTGCTTTTCTTAATAGCAATTCTGGGAATATTCCGTCGCGGGTATTTTTAAGACTCAAAACTATTTATTGCCATCCCACTTTGATTGAAATTATAACGTTTGGCTGGATGCTACCTGCTATACCTCCCTCACTATCGAGTTTACGTATCCCTGAAAGTGGGTATTGACCAGATCTTCTAGCGACTCCTCGCTTGAATTGGTCCAGTGCCCGCAACTCTTATATATAAGGCTAGGCGTGCTCGAAAGCTTCCTAAGCCTGACAATTTCTTTTCTTCCCTCCAAATTATCACAGACATCACTCCAGGACTTGTTTTTTGCTTTTCGTACTTCTCTTTTATAAGATTTAAATAAATCATTGCACTCCCTCAGCGAAATTCATTATCAGCTACTTTGAAGCTTTCTCATACTTCGGGCCTTTGCTATACTAGCTCCTTATTCCACCAAGGTGGTTTAGATTTAACGCTTAGTACGCGAAAGTTGGGACTATCTAGTGGACGATGTTTATTGATTTGAGCTCTTAGCGGTATTTTTTTAATTTTAAGAATAATCGAAGTAAGGGTTATATATCCGACTTCTTTAAGTTTAATTTGCAGAATCCTCATTCTCTTAGAAAGCAGAGCTGTATTTCGTCCATTCTCTAGGAATGTGGCAAAGGTTAAGACATGCTCCCTAGATGCTACCTAATGAGATCATTAAATTCAATACTGTCACCCAAACTGCTCCCTGCATTTTAAAATCAATAACACAGTTCGCTTTATTAATCAATTTTGCATCATTGTTCTAACACTTTCACCCTAAACAATAGATATCTATTCATAATGATATTTATTTTTTGCAAAATATATATTTATGACAACAACACCGGTTGCAAGACCCTTAGTAAAAATTCGATATTCACACGCATGTCAATAAATTTTCGTAGTATATCGAAAAAAATTCCTTATAAATTGTCTTCAACTAGGGTTAGGTCTCCAGTCTGCACTTTTGCCTTTTGCCTGCGTATAATACTCGTACATACACACATACATACACACATACATACATACATATATGTACAACCTCACTCATATATCATTGCAAGCATGTGCCGATAGCATACACCGTTCGAGTTATGGCATTTGCATTCGAGTACGCTCACAACACTTCCCCCCCCCCCAAACTGCCCACAGCCGCAGTAATTCCGATATGCCATAGAACTGTCACAATGCCTGGCCCGTTTCCATGCGTGTGCTGTCCTTACACGTTTCCTTAGCATCCTTAACATCCTTGCTATCGCTCACAACTCGTAAATCTTCCAAGCAAAATGGGTAACGATGACAAAAATTCACAACAATAATAAGAATAAAGCATTAACAACCCTGCTTGAGTTGCTGGTGGTAGTGTTGCTGTAACGAGGACAATGGCAGAACGTGAATAAGCACAGCGCGTGAATGAGAAGCTGCCGCAGAAGTACATACATATGTGTATGTAGCATGTCAGTAGTAGTCGTAGAAGTTGTGTAAACGATTCTACTCGTACTCGGTATGGAGCGCCATTTTGCCCCGATTTTCCATTAATAAATATAAAGCGCACGAGAACGCAATTTCCCTACGCGTACGCGTACGCATTTTTCAGTTCCGGCAGCGTGAAATGCGCGCGCATTGACATCTTGTGCCCCCAAGATGTGTACAGGTACATCTTTCATGCCGATCAACAACAGCTGCCTGCCAACGTACATATACATATACATATATAGTATGTATGTACGTATGAATTGTGGCATGCCACATTTCGAAAGCTTTGCAATTTCACTTTTTTCTTGCAATTTTTTGGGAAGGAGATCAGAATTCTTTCGAATTTAAAAAATTAGATGTCAAATTAAGGACCTTGGTTTTATTTTGTGAAGTAAGAACTTTTTTACAGGTACAGGGTGAATTGATGCAATTGATATCGATAACAAAACCTATAAAAATATCGATTACAAAATCGATGACAAATTCGTTAAAAATTTCGACAGCAAAATCGATAATAATATTGGTAGCAAAATCGATTAGAAAATCGATAAAAATATCGATGACAAAATCGATAAATAATTGATAACAGAGTCGATAACAAAAGTCGATTAGAAAATCGATAAAAATATCGATAACAAAATCGGTAACAAATTTATAAAAATATCGATATCAAACTCGTGAACAAAATCGATAAATAATCGATAAAAAATCGATAAGAAATCGATAAAAAAAATCGATAAAAATATCGATAATAAATTCGATGAAAATATCGATAACAACCCCGATAAACTGCAATGCGGCGATGCGACCCTTCACTTCTGATTTCCGTTCTAGGAAGGTTTGTTCAAAGTACGGAACAGTGATCGGACTACCACTCAAGGTCTGAAATCTACCATATATTCG